TTCGGGTTAACACAATATTTCCATCCCGGATCTCCGCCCCAGTGGGGTGCAAGTACTTGAAAAAATAAATCTCAAATAAAGATTACAGACTGACCTTTTTTACCAAATCTCTGATCTTCGGTGTTGGCTATCTCAGTCGAGCTACGAATAACTTAAAAGTCTTCTAATACCACCAATAACACCCTAAAAATAATTTCAATTAGAAAAACAAACTTTTTCAATCCACAAGAAGTACTTTTGATTCTCAGCAATTGCTTTAGATTCTCATAAATAAGTTTAAGATTGAGTGTTTCTTGTTTTTTTTTGAGTTTGGGGTTGAAAAATAAACCCCTAAACTTATTTTATACAAACTTGGGGGTCAAAATGACCCCCTTTTGCCCTTTAAGGCGAAGTTAAAAAAAAAAATCGTAAACTGTGCTGGGCGCCCGCTCAGGTACAGCCGCCGTGTTGGGGCGCTCAGGTCCAGGCGAGCGGAAATTGTTTTTGGGTGCCTAGACGCCAGGCGGTCCGTTTTTTTTAACATTGACCTCCCCTTAACCAAATCTAGGGCTAGGCATGCCCCCTTCTCTCCTTACTGGTGCATGCAATCCTTAAAGACTTATGGGGGGTGGCTTGCCACCTAGAGAGAGAAGAGAGAACAAGAGAGAGAGTGGAGCATGGAGGGGATAGAAAGTAAAGAGAGAGAGAGAGGCTAGAAAATAAAAGGTGTAGAAAATGAGGGGGGAACCCCTCCTTATATAGGCTTCAAAGGCCCTAAGGATGCCTATCCAGTTGTGACATGACCAATCGGATTTTAGGAAATCAGAGAGGTGAGAGAATTAAATTTGAGCCATCCATCTCATGAATCAGCCATCATGATTTAGGGAGGAATATTAGGAACGTTAATCCTTGAATCATTGACCCATATCCACTTCTATTCAAACTAGGATATGACCTATCTAAACCTAATCTTCTAAAACTTCCCATATCTCTTAAGATTGTAGGAATTTTTTTTTTTTTAAATAAATAAATATATGGTCAAAGTTTGTATAAACAACTAACTCCCACGGAATAAGCACATAGTCTTTTTCAAAATAATTCCTTAACTTAAAAGATGCTTTTTAATTTTATTAAAAACAAAAGTAATATAATAGAGGGAGTTGGGGGGGGGTGCCACCTCCATGACTGAGTTGTGGCCCCATGGGCTCCACGCCCCACCCATGTGGTGTGGCACACAATGGGCTGAATCCAAGGGCCCCCCACACATTCCCCTCGACACGACCTAAATTTTAGAAATATCGTTTTCAAGCAATTCACAGCTGAAATTAATTTTTAAAATTATGAAAAATTCTAAAATTCGCAGAAATATTTCTTTCATTGAAAAAAAAAATGTAGAAGTGTACTGGTTACCAATGGCAAGATAAGTGACTATCGAGGCACTCCACCTGACCCAATAATCATGATCTTAAACTATCTTCTCAAACCGACCCAACTAGACCCATGACCCACAATCTCATGTAGGGGCTCATGATTGGCTCTTCAAAGTTGGCCAATAAATAATATCGCCACAGTTTCAGAATGTGGATATTAGGTTTCCCCCCTTAAGAGTAAGTCATACGCACATATCACTATAGTGCAAGGGGGGCTCTCTTTGTGCACATGTACACATATCCCTTTTCAAGGTTGCTTCTAAATAATGTAGTTGTTATGCATACAATATGTTGAGGATATAGCCATCACTCTCATAGGCCTCCTTCCGCACACAAGAAACCACAAAGCTTTCCTAGCCTAAAAACCATCCTGGGTATCTCTCCAACCTCAATAAATGATGACCCTCTGAAAACTTTTTTTAGTAGTGCCACATGCCCAGGTTGAAGGGTTTTGGACATGACCATGGCCATAGACCGTCTAATCCTAGGTCAGTCAAGAAACACATACACTCCTACTGAAGTGTATAATCCATTATAATTTATATTTACATACTCTCACAGCCTTTAAAGAATAGGGAATGAGTTATCTTGATGGGGGGAATGAGCTCCACTCAAGCTGTGGCTCTGGTATTGCCTGAGCAAGATTCTGAAGGGGGATTGCCACCCCCCTATCAAGCTCCCCGTATCTATAGGTTTCGAATGTTAGGTTATAGAGGAGCACTATTTAGCGCTTGTTATGTGGATGCAACTTTAGTTGTTATGGGGGTGTCAATAAGGAATATTTAACCTAAATACATATTGGATTGGTATGAGAGATAGTTTGGACATGACCTGGCCCCGTAGGCTACCCAACCCTAGGTTAGTCAACAAACGCACACACTTCCATTAAAGTGTATAATCCACTATAATTCATATTTACTTGCTCTCATGGCCTTTCAAAGCCACAGAACCCCAACATATCCACTTGACCTTTGAAGGCCATACAATCATTCCCTCGCTGTCTCTTTGAACTCCATCCCATGTACATGCTTGGCAAATACATTTGCCACCAGTCCTTCTTGTCAAAGGATCTCCTAACATAGCCTTTGTCAGGAGATAAACATTCTCGATCTTTCCTGCTCAGATCTTGTTACAAATGTCATAATAGTTTGTCTTAATGTGCCTTGATTTCTTGTGAAATCGTGGCTCTTTGGCCACACAAATTGTTGCCTGGTTATCACAGAAGGTTCTTACACACAAGCAATTCATTGGGATTAAATCTTAGTTGATTCAGGAACTTCAACCAGACTGCTTGTTTTATTACAAGACAACAAGCTACATACTCTAATCCATAGTCGAGAGGGCGGCAACGTCCTGTTTGTTTGAGCTCCAGGGTACAACTCCCTTGGCAGGCGTAAAGATATACTCAGATGTGGACTTCATCTCATTTGGATTGCCCTGGTAGTCCGCATTTAAATATCCTTTTATCTGTATGTCTGAGCCTCCTCCATACATTAGGCGTGATTAACCTTTCCCTTTCAATACCATAATACTCTTTTGATTTCCATTGAATGGTCTATGTCTGGATTACTCTGGTTTGGAACCTGCTAATCACACTCATAGCAAATGATAAGTCCAGTCTCGTCCCTAACATAGCACACATTAGTGACCCAACTGCACCTCCCCACGGAATTCTCTACATGGCCTCTTCTTCTTCTGAGCTTGTGGGACATATGGTTAGGCTGAACTTGGTCTTCTTATCAATATAGGGACTGACAATTTTCTATTTCAAATCTTTCTGGTATTTTCTAGCAATGTCTCTTGAGATAACTAAATGGTTCTCTCTCTTCTATTTTTGGCAATCTTGATTCCCAAAACATATGAAGCCTCTCCAAGATCGTTCATATTAAAGTGTTGTGACAAGAAAGCTTTTGTTTCCACTATAAGAGTCATTGAACTACTAAAAATTGACATGTCATCCACATATAGGGAGATGAATACGACATCACTCTGACCTTGACATATACACAATTTTCATCCTGGTTAGGCACAAAACCAACTTTCCACACAGTTTCTTGAAACTTAGTGTACTATGTATCGATGCTTGCTTAAGGTCACAAAGGGATTTCCTAAGTTTACATACTAGGTTTTCCTTTCTGTTTTCTATGAGGCCCTCTAGTTGTTTTATGTAAACATCTTCTTCTAGCTTCCATTTACAAATACAGTCTTAACATCCATCTGGTGGAGTTCGAAGTCAAAATGGCCTGCTATGGCTATTAGGATCCTAATGGAGGTGAACTTAGCTATAGGAGAGAAAGTCTCATCATAATCTATTCCTTCTTTATGGGTAAACCCTTTAGCTAATAATCTAGCTTTGTACTTTTCTAATCTTGATCGTGCCCAATTTTCAGTGTGGTCATGATCCCTTCTAAAGCAATCAAGATCTCTTTTAGTCGGTGATTGGGATTCTTATAAGATAGGGAACGAGTTCTCTTGAATCGCCGCAGCGAGATTCTGTGGGGGACCACCACCTCCAACCAAGCCACTCGCATCTAGTGTTTACTTTGTGGATGCCACTTTAGTTGTTATGGGGGTGTCAATAAGGAATATTTGCCTTAGATAGATATTGGATTGTTTTTCTGATGATGATGATATATTGGATTGGTTTGAGAGATTGTTGGGATAAAATGATGACTTGAAAAAGTCGTAGGTTTATGCAGACATTGTGGATATTTTGTTGAATTGCACCAAAAGATTGTGTTGCAGGGCTTACATCTTTGCGATGGGAATCTTCTAAAGCATTGTTGTGTCTCTTGGGCTTGGAAGTGGGATGGACAGTGTGCTTGTTTGCTAGGTGAAAGGGCAAGGTGTAGTCGAAGGGAAGACATGTAATATGTATTCAAGTTTATTTGTGTATGAATATGCGATGTATGTGGCTTTTCTAAGATTCGAGGAAATTGAGGACCAAGTTGATGAATGTGGCTTTTCTGCTGAAGTACAACTAATCTTAAATTCTTAATAGGTTATACTCTGTCAACAGATCAAATTTATTGTGGTTTGAACTTTGTGTTCTGGTGCCAGTGGCTTTGATCACTGGTATAACTGCGATATCGAGAATTTTTACTGGACATGAAATTATAACAAGAAGCCAACATAATATTTCTTAGGAAATCTCTGCTTCCCCTTTCCACAATCCCTATTATTCCTACTGATTCAACCAATGCCCTTCAGGCCTTCACATATACCACTGTCTACTTATGTAAGAGATTTGTTGTGCCGAACTTCTCCCACTCATAAATTCTTGTATGTATTGATTAGAGTTTGCACCAGTGTGCACAATTCATAAATTTGGATATTTAGTTTTCTGAAATTTGGGGCCATATGAGGGCGTCAGTAGAATGACTCTCATCTGCTTCAATTTTCATGTACATATCAAGACCTAATGATGTGAGTGCATAATGTAATGCACAGAAACTGCATTGTCTGTCTGCATGTATGGTATGGTGCATTTTGTATACTATGCAGCAGTACTTCATGCATCTCCTCTTCTCTCTTTGTATGAACTGCTTAAGGTGTCTCTGTTTAACATCTTAAATTTGTGTTGTACTTTAGGGTTAGTAGGACGTTAGAGACCTCTACAAAGGAAATTGGGATGGGATGTGATAAAGATCTTGTTAAAGGTTCTGAGATCATGCAGAAGCTACCTGTTTCAGCAGTGAAACTCCCTGCAATGGAGGAGTTTGAAAAGGAGACCAGAGGATACCAGAGTGAATCTGAAGATCCTCCTGAGGATACAATGCGCCCCAAAAAATCATCAAGTAAAGATGGGACCTCTCTGAAGAAAAGGAAGCGTGCAGATAAGCTTCAGAACTCAAAGTACTTTCTTCCCTTCCAATGAAGACTATTTTCATATGGTTGGGTAATGGGGACAAACTAAGACAAAACCTCCATTTAAGATGAAAGTAATATCATACTACATGTCCTCTTTTATTTTTTATTTTTATTTTTTATATATATATTTTGTGATTGGTTACTATATGTCCTTTCTAATTGTCATTCATTCCGCTACTTCATTATGTATAGTGTTTTCCCTTCAAATTTTAGTTCTTTATAGTAGGTCTTATCATAAGTGAATTATTAATTCAAGGTTGGGAACCTCGGCATGTAGGCGAAACTCAGGCTTGGCGTGGGCGAGTCAACTCAGCAAGTACCAAGTTGACTCACGAGTTTGCCCCAACTAGGCCAAAAAGGGCAGAAAAATCCCCAAAATCTGGGAAAAATTGTAAAAAAAAGGAAAATAAAAATAGAAAAATATATACAATATGAAAAATGATAAAAAATGAATTAATGAACTTATTGGCGTGTACTCGCTGAAATTGTTGGTTTTCTGATGTGCCACTAAATCATACTATAACTTATAATTTTTTATTTATTTATAATTTTCTACTCTTCTAGTGCCAATTCAAATTGCTACTAATTTTTTTATAGAATGCGACAAAACCACAACTATAACTGAAAATATTACTAGATCGAGCAATATTAATTAAAAATAAAGTATGAGTTTTAATTAAAAAAACTGAAAGTTACCCTAAATTTCTTAGTTCAGCCCTCCAATCTTTGCACTCAATATGATTCAGTGCCTTCAATTCTTGTCGGGCATCCTCAAAAACTTCAATTTGAAACCCACCAAATCAGATATGGGATTAAAGTTCAGATCTAGTTGATCCATGCTTTTTAAATTTTCATGAATAGTAAATTTGAAACAAATATCTCAAATTCCAAGTCTTTTGTGGTTTTTTGTGAGAAGCAAGCCTATGATTCAATGAAGAACCCAATAGCAGGCTTAGGAAACAAATTTCGTCCAAGAACTACTAACAGTTGCAAAGAATTCACGACTTTGCAAGGTTGGCCAAAATCATGGTCGAAATTTGACCAAACAAATTTATAATATTTTGAAAAGCAGTTGCAACGAATTCATGGCTTTTCGAGTTCGGCCAAAATTATGGTCAAAATTTTGACTAAACAAATTTATAAAATTTCAATTTTTTCAATTAAATCTGATCTATCAATTCGGTGGATCCTGCAAAAGTGTGTGAGGAGAATTTTTTTTTTTTTGATAACTAAAAGTGTGTTAGGAGAATTGTTGCTTCTATGGTGAAAAAAGGTGGATGAATTCCACCCTCCTTTGTGTTTCAGAAATTTTATAGAAATCGCCGAGTTATAACAAACTCATCGAGTCAGTCAAAATCTCGTCAAGTTTATACAGTATACTCAGGCAAGTTGCTATAGTACTCGCTGAGTACTGTAGCACTTCAGTACTCCCTCGAGTTGGTGGGGTTCTAGGTTTGTTAGGGTGCCAGGCCTGATTGGTTTTGGGCATAAGCTTGTGTTGTATTCCATCTACTGGTTTCAGCTCGGAGATATACTTGCTGATGCTTGACCCTTCTGACACTGCACATTCCTTTTTTATATTTATATCATATGTATCATTTGTTTCCCCCCAGTGTGGTCACTTCACTATCTGCATGCTCCATTTCCCCCCTTTCCTGGAGCCCTTTCATTCAAATAGTCAAAGACTTGTTATGTTTGATGGTGAAAATAACTTTTCTATGCACTTATCAACTGCCTTTTAGAATTGTTTTTCCTTTGAAAGTTTTACAATTTTTTTCTGTTTCTTTTACAGGAAGAAGAAAAGAAGATCAAGTACTCTTGTGCAAAATAAGATCGATTGTTCTCAAGAAAATGAAGGTCTATTGAGAAACAATTTTCTTAAAAATGGCAGTGACTCCCTTTGCGAACATAGGCCTAAGATAAATGTCCTAAAAGGTGTTACCAGGGATAGCAGTAATCTTGCTGAAGCCACGCCCATTGATTCTGATAAGAGTAGTGGTGTGAAAGTTAACAAACGAAAGACAAAACAGCAGTTGTCTCCTGTAGAGGATGGGGAGATTCAACCTTGTGATAGTGTTGTCTGTAAATCCTCGGAAAGGTTGAATCAAACTTAGTCTCATTATTGTTGTTAAGTTTTTCCTTATGTTCCTGCTCATTTACAATTATTTTTTTTCTTAGTTTCTTCTGAATGCTATCATTGGTCTTGAAATATTCTATAAAAAAATTAATTTCATGTTTCCACTGTAATAAGTTGTATATTTTCTATGTTTTATCTTTTGAGCCAAGTTTGCTATAACCCATGTATAGAAGATATATGTAGATTATATTTTAACACTTGCTGTTTCCGGAAATCTTGTTTTGCTTTGCATGTTGTTTACCTATGCTTAAGGTACTGGAGTTACTTATGGTTTTCTTCCTGTAATCAGGAAGAAAACCATTAGGTGTCTTCCTGTTATCAGATTTTAGTCATCATCTATCCCCTTAGAAACTATTTGGTGTTTTAAAAATACCTACAACCCACTTTTTTGGGGAAGCAGTGTTATCTTTTGCAGCGAGACTGGGAAGGAAATCTTACACATCGATATGTCTGGAAGGGAATCACCAGGTATGGTTTGCGATGTGTTATTTGTGATCATTCACCTTGGGTAATTTAATCTGTCTTTTGGAGTTAACCATATTTTAGTTTTTATCTCGTGTCTCGTATGGGCCCATCTGCAAGAAACTCTGGAGGGACGGTGAAGCTATGAGTTTTAAAATTTTGAAATTTTGAGTTTGAATGCATTAATCATTGCCAGTTTTATTAATTGAAAATCTTTTTACTTGTTTGAGTTTTTATTTTCCAAATACTTTTTTATTTTGTATTTTACTTTTTATATTCTGTGGATTCAACTTGCTGGACCAGCTGGGACCATGGGGTCTTCGAAATTTTTGGATTTTCTGAGTAGTTTGGGTAGGAAGTTTGTGTACTTGTGGTCTATGTTGGCTATGTGGCCTTTCAAGGCCTTAAAGCCAATAGTCTTACGCTCAGTGGGAGTTAGAGAGAGACTGAATCTGGGTGCTTGGAGCACTGGGGCACAGATTCATATACCCCGCATATTTGAGGCATTGAGAGTATACGTTTTGAGAGTGTGAACTCTCGGAGAGGTGTGAGGGTCACCTCCCAGTCTGAAATATATTGATTAGAATGCCTCATAGTTGCTGTGATAAGCCAGGGCTTGGAGAATCCAATTGAGAATAATAGAACCCGAGTATTTAAAAGAGTATTCGCCCTGTATGGAATGGTCGATTCATGGGATATGAGCCCGTATCCTGACACGAGACCTTTCCATGGCATGTGCACCCACAGTCGTATGGGGAAGCCACTCTTCTATAGTATTATTCGACTTAGAAGAGCTAGTTACATGTGCTTTAAGAGGACCCCTGTATTTGAATAGGAACATGTCCCACAGGGGTGCACCAGTAATCCATTGAACCCTCGGTGATGGTAAGCTCTGGCTCAGCGACTTTGATGTAACCAATTATGTGTCCCTGCCATAGACTGTGGAGCATAGGTCTATTGGGTTGGCTCGAGACACCGGTGGAACGTCATTCGGGTTAGCCCATTGGAAGACTCCGACTAGTGTTATAAGTTTAGAGATCTCATTTACCTTTGGCCCAAATTAATCTAAAATTGACGAGAAAATATTTTATATTGATGAGAAATTGTGTAATAAGGTTGAGAAATCATTTAGAGAATTTTTGAGATTTTTGGAGAATTTTTCAGATTTTTTAAACAATAAAAAATGTGATTTTCAATTTGTTTGACGTAAATACCAAACAAGGACATCCTATGGGGATGCCACATGGATCCCAAGTGGCCATAGGGATGCCACGTGGAACCCTGACCTCCCCACTTGTGGATGACATCATGCTGACATCATATCCATGTGGGGACCTATTTGTCATTAAATCTTTTGTTGGTATTATGTTATAACATGATTATTTTGTTATTTAAAGGGTTATATTTTGTTATGACTTAAGTTTGATTTAAGTCACATGTTTTTTTTTAGCTCATATGTGTCATTTTTGGCATGTGTGAAGTCATGGGATTTTGAGAATTAATTTAATTCATATTATTATCCACATATGATTTTGTAGCATGTGAGTATATCTTATGTAACACCACCTTATGGGCTTGACCCATGTGAAACTTTACTGTTGTAAAATCCTGTTGGTAGTGTCATAAGATATTTTATTCATGTGTAGATGTCTCATATTACCTTTATGTCCATGTCCTTGTATTTTATTGACTCTCACAAATTATTCAAAAACCATGGGTATAATTGTAAACATTAATTTGGACTTAATGAGAAATAAAACATAGAGCTAAGGGCTTCAAGGTAAAATGACTATAAACCTAGGTTTTGAGGAGTGAAGGGTGTCAAAAGCTTATCCATTGATCTTGGTAATAAGATATGGATGAGTGGCTTGGATAAAAGCCTCTCATGTGCCATTGATCTAAGGCATCAAGGATCAAGATCAAATCCATCTTTATGATCTAAGTATAAAAGTAGCTTATGAGATCAATTATTACCCTAACTTGAGTATTCACTTCAAAGAGAGAGAGAGAGAGAGAGAGAGAGAGAGAGAGAGCCCTTGACAAAAATATGGTCACCCATGAGATTATCTTCTTCTTTGGGCTTTCATTTGAAACCCTTCCATGGAGTAATCCATCATTTATGTGATCAAGCCCATATCATTGCTTCATTAAGGTATTGATTTTTCTTCTCATATTTTTAATTCCTACCTCATTTCCATTATCAAAGCTTGTTGTAATTCTTAATTTACGATAGCTTTCTTCGTTTTTGGTCATGAAAACTTGATATTTGAAGAGTCCCAAAGCAATAGTGTAGTCCATACACATAGTATGTGTAGACTAGCTTGCTTACTCCATGATCTTGAGTAGTTTCAACTTGATTTCTTGATCTTATTTTTCTGGAATTTTTTACTGAGAATATACAACTGATGAGATGTTTATTTCATCATATTTGAGCATAAGAAATAGTCCATTGAGTTGCCTTTTTAACGTTGAAAAGTTGGTGTGGTCCCTTATGGACCACACGGTGTAGTTTTACCATAAGTTCTTTATTTTGTGTAGTATCTCTCTCAAACTTTGAAAGGCTATTTTGATACAATCTCTCTCATGATTTGATCCCCATTAAGTGATATAAATGTGATCATTTGCTTCCCATTGGATTGATCTCCTTGAGTTATTATTATCACCCGTGCCTTAGACAATGGGACAAAATTAAGTCCTCAAAAGGCCCTTTCATGGCCCGGGCACAAGGGGTTCGAACCATGGTTTCCCCATGTATGTTTGCATGTTAATTTGATGTATTTACAGTTATTAAATGGATTCATGATTTTGATTAAGTTGAGTAAGCTGTATAAATATTGAGATTGTTTTTTTTTTTTTTTGCGGTATGAGCTTTAATGCTATGCATTATTGTTTATGCGAATTGAAATCTTATTGAATTATTATGATCAAGTGTATGATGTGTATGAGATATTATGAGGATGAAGAATGAAGATGAAATTATCATATAATTTTGATATAATAAGGAATTGCGAGTGCAAGTCATACAATATGTTGTAGAGATGTACAATGTGAATATTTGAATATTGTATTCAGTTTAATTATACTTTTTAGTAAGGGATTTGTAGGGGACCTATTAGGGTTCAATTTTATTATTGAAATATGTATAAACTAGGTTTGTAGGCTGGAATATATGTGTTATGGTTTTGTATTGAGATATTCATGCATTTAAACCATTGAGTTTTTATACAATGGAATTTTTTTTTAAAAGATTGCATTTCTAGCCTATTGGTCTTATACCACCAACAGTTTAGAGCATAATTTCTGTTCTCATGATTGTTTTTTTTTTTTCTTAAGTTGTGTTTGTTCTCATGATTGTTTCCTTCATTTAATTTTGTTTGAATGGATCTACTCGTGGGAATTGCTTAGTATTTTTTGTGGGCGTACATTAATCTTTTTTTCATCCAATGTACTAGTTGTATACAATGGAAAGTATTTCCTCTGTTCTTATTCATGCAATTCAATTTCATACAATTGATGGAGCATAATTGTAGTGCTTTTGGTTAGTGGAAAAGTACATTAGTGTTACTTCTAGAGTTATATGTCCCCTCCTTCCAATGTTGGAAATTTTAATTTAAACAATTTCTAGAACCATTAATCCTGGCAATGTTGGAAATTTTAATTTAAACAATTTCTAGAACCATTAATCCTGACAATGTTGGAAATTTTAATTTAAACAATTTCTAGAACCATTAATTCTGATCTTCTAGTCTAGTATTACATTTTTCAATAGTTTTTCTCACAAGCTTTGTATTATTGGCCTACATATTGAGAATTATCATAATTCGGTTCCTGCTTTCATACTATCAATATTTGAGTGATTTTTTAGTTTATCTTTGGAGTATCTTTATGAAATGCATATTCTATTTCCAGGCTTGATCAATCTGAAGGCAGTCCAAAGTATGTCAATACCTTGAGTTCAGTGCCTGGTACAAAAAAGGTTTGCTGTTGACCTTGTTTATTATAAATAGTTGTGAAGTTCCTCGTACTTATTTCCTATTTTATAAAAATGATGGCTATGATGCTCAGTTTCACTAGTTCTCTACTGAGATATCTACCATAGGATGAGTTTTCAATCATGCAATTATGCGGCTAGACTTGAAAAGTTACATTTGGCACATGTTGGGACTATGCTTAGTTGATATTTTTGAGAGAAAAACTTGTGCTGCAAGTTTAATGTATATAGTACCAGTTGGTTTGAATCATGTTCTGCAATGTATTTGTCAGTTCCTTTAGAAAAAGTCCACTCGTTATTGTTTGACGTGAATATGGCACAATTTCACCACACTTCAAATTTATATTTTCCTATTACAGATGCTTCTTTGTTTGATGTAACTATCAGTGAAGTCTGTATTATTGTCACGTATGAAAAAATTGAGGCACATGACAAATTTGCCTTTAATAGGGGTCCATGCCTTTTTGTGTGGTCTAGTGGTAGTCTTATATGTATGCATATGTTATTAGGATGACAAAATGCTTTTATTAGACGTTGGGCATCCATGTTCATGCAGAAAGAAAAAAATTTGCACTTGTGCTTAAATAGCCATCCAAATGTGTTGCCTTTCTTTTGTTCGCTCAAGGGACATATCTCTGTCCTGCATCTAAGCTCTCTCCTAGTGCCATGCTGTCTACAGTAGTCATGAGCAATTAGCATGTGTGCTATTCTTCCTAAGCTCCAAAGGGAGGAATCCTTATAAAATGGCACTTAATTGGAGAAACTCATCTTAATTCTTATTCTTATGGCTTAGCTCCCACATGATCTCAGCAGTACATATCTGGAGATTGAGATGCTCTTATGGTTATACTTTTTAAAAAAGGGAAAAAAATCCTTGTAGTTTTAGGTCTCTGCATGATATTGATATGCTTGCCCTTGTTCGTTAGAATATGAATAATTTCATAGACAAGGAGCTTATGTCTTCTTTATGCAAAATATAAATTTTTGTGGAAAAGGGAGCGATTTCGAGGGTTTTTTGGCTTTGCTTCACCATGAATTCCCCCAAATTTGTGTGGCTTTAATTAAAAAATGTGAGGTTGCCCCCCCTCGCCCTCTTTCTTCTTTTAGTTTTGCTTTTTCTCTTGTTTTTTGTTTTGTTTTGGGGTGGGGAGGGAAGGGGAGTCAAGGTGGGATTGGAAGGTTGGGATGGAGTTCCATACTAATGATATGTCAGCTTCTTCTGTGGAGTGGCTTCAGTACTTTTTCTTTTTTTTTTGTTGTAAAAAAGCACAAGCTTATGCATCATTTGAGACTAGTGATATGCACGTGTACTAAATATTAATCAATAAATAAATTTTTAATTTTAAACTGACATATTCGATTATAGAGAGTTATAAAAAGAGAGAATTTGTTGGATCCATCTTCACGTATGGGCTTTTATTAGGTAATAATTTTTTTATATTTTAATTATATTATTCTATAACCAACTTTAAAATTATTATTAATCATATTAGTAAAGTTGTTATTTACTTGTCAGAAAATATTATTCTAGAGAATTAGAAAAAAATAGAAATGCAACAACATATCAAATAAATTTCAAAATATGATTATAATTCTATTTATGTTACATTTTGAGGTAATTATTTTTCTAAAAATAATTTCAATTACATTATTTACATCTGTATTTTGCATTTACGGTTAATTACTTTTCCTTTTTAATATATATCCAACTATATCATTCACTAATATAAATGAAATTATTTTTACGTATATTAGTAAATGTATTATTTACTTATAAGTACTATTTTTAAAATTGGAGAAACTGAAAATGCAAAAAAGAAAAACATAGAAGGGTTTATTCTTTCTTTGTCTTTTTGTAATTTTGGTTAGTTACCGTAGTGTTTTTTTTCTATTATGAGTTATAATGTTTTCTAAAATGATTAAAATTAATTTAAAATAATATTAGCAAATAAATTATTCTATTAATACATAATTACAAAATTATATTTATGTGATTATGAGTTATTGAAAACATTTAATTAGGATTCTAAATTCTAAAATAATTAAAATTAATTTAAAATAATATTAGCAAATAAATTATTCTATTAATACATAATTACAAATTTATATTTATATGATTATGAGTTATTGAAAATATTTAATTAGGATTCTAAATACTTGTGTAATTTATTCCAATTATATTTTTGGTATAATTAATTGCATATATATATCTATCATGTGAACTTTATAACAATTACTATACTATTAATTATTGTAACAAAGTAATTAGTTATAATAATTTAAATAATTATTGATAAATTACAATATAAAAAATAGAATAGTTATATGTAAATTTAAATAACTATCCATCTATCTATCTATTATATATAAAGCGAGAGGAGGCCCCCCTATATTTTATTGACTTGTGTCCTTTTTCTTCCCGTTATATCCTACTAATTCTTAGTTTCTTCCCCATTTTACACTTCTATTTCTTGGAATTATCGAACTCTCCATATTAATGGCTAGACGTCTTCAAACTTAAATAAATGTTGACTATATTCTAAAAAGTTTTAATTGGTTACAGTGAGGTAGAAAGGAATTGGATTAGAACTGTAACAAAATAAATTCACCATCATTCCAAGGAAAGCAGCAGTTTCTAGTGTCACTTCCAAAAGTATGAAATAAAAAAATAGGCTAATTGTTTGTTGACCTTCCCCGGAATAATATAAGATGGATCTTGCAAAGATTGCTAAACTAAATTCAAAGATGAATATAAGTTATTAATTGAAGCTTTATTTCAAAATGTACTCTTTGTTGTCTAAATTCTTCAATACATCTTCCACCATCGTGTTGTTTGGTACCCAGTGTATCAAAAAGTGCTAGGCGGGTCCTAGGTGGCATGGGGGGTCCAGGCCGCCCTGCGCCTAGGCTGCCGCCCAGAATCTGGGCGGTAGCCCAGTTGAAATAACCACAATCCCAGATTCCAAGTTGAAAAAAAAGAAGATAGAAGTCGAGAAGAGAATTTTGATAATCCATATTGTTAAAACAGTAAACTGTAAAACCATACAAGTTTAGGATACGAAAGTCAACACTCAACACAATAGAAATATACAGAAATTTAGAAAATATACAGTCTAAGATATAAAAGCCAACACTCAATACAACAGTCAACACTCAACACTCAGCACCAAGAGGCAAGAGTCTTCAGTCGTCGTCGTCATCATCATCATCAGAAGGAATATCAATGGGTCAAGCCTCATCATATGCATTAGAGTCGTGGCCATCATCATCTGAGTCATCTCCCTCTTCAATATAACGCTCGTCCTCTGTTTTTTCTGAATTTGCCTCTTCCTCCTTCTCTTCTTCTACCTTCCTCTTACTGGTATGTGCAGACTGTGCAGATGAGGCCCTAGGAGTTTTGGTTGTTCTACCTTTTTCTCGTATAATTTCCTCCCTGGTAGCTTCAGGAACATTTTTACACAAGGCAACATCCCCCTTAATACCGGTAAGGTGTTTTTTAAATCGTAAATGCCCCCATTAGTATCATTTCCACAATAATTACATTTAATATGATTTTTATCACTTGGATTCGAGTTATAACCATACTTCCAACCCGGATCACCACTTCTAAAAGAACCCGGAGAAGATATTTCCATAGAACAAGGCTCATTTTTATTATTTTCTGGTTCTTCTAAATTCAGAAGCTGTCTAATCTCATCCCGAATTGCTTCAGAAACCTTTTTACAAGAAGCAACATTACCTTTAACACCAGCAAAGTGTTTTTCGAATCGGCTAATACCCCCATTGGTATCTTTTTCACAAAAATTACACCTTATATAATTTTTATCATTTGGTTTTGGGTTGTACCCATACTTCCAACCCGGAGCACTTCTTCTAGAAGTAGCAGAACTAGATCTATGACAAGGATTTTGTTATTGTTTTTATTTTACACAACTTATATATTACCTAATCTCCTCTTCGATAGCTTCAGGAACATTTTTACAAGGGGCACTATCTCCCTTAATACCGGCAAGATGTTTCATAAACAGGTTTATGCCTCATTTTGTGTCTTTTTCACAAAAATTGCATCTAACGTAAGTTTTGTCATTTGGATTCGGGTTGCATCCATCTTTCCAACTCTCCACTCCGACTAACTCCTGAAGAAGACATCTCAAAATAAAACAAACGATCTAAAAAATAAAGTTTTGCACTTACTTTGATTGCTCGAACTCCAAACTTTGAGAAACACTTTGATCCTATGAAATGTAGTTTTTTTGAGGTTTATTTCTCTCTAAAATGGGTTATTGTGGGTTTTGGTTTCAAATGAAGAGAGGGCGTGGGGTAGAGAGAGAAGGTGGGAGAGAGATCACATACAAAGGTAGAGAGAAGTAAAGAGCTTTAAATTAGGAAATAATGTTGGGAGTTTCAAATTTGGGGTGTATTAAGGATGTGAGTGATTATGGAGAGAGATTAATAGACAACCATTAATATGGAGAGCTGGACAATTCCAAGAAATAGAAGCGTAAAATGGGAAGAAACTAAGAATTAGTAGGATACAATTGGAAAAGGATACGGACACATGCCAATAAAATAAATGGGGACCTCCTGTCATTTTATTAAGCATGGGAGATGTATGGATTTATCGTATAGAGAATAAGAAAGAAAACGAGGAAGTGGTTTTCCTTGATGTGGCCCCTCAAGAGTGCCACTAGGATTCCCAAGTGCTTCCATATGTTTCATTTGTTGATGACAACATGGTGTGATTATCAATATTGCAACTGGTATTCTTGGATACCTATAACTTAGAATGAAATCAGTTATAAATTCGAATATGAATGCAATAGGAAGTTATGCAATGATGCTTTGTCAAAAAAAAGAAAGAAAAATTGCATGATGATAGGATATATCGAAAATTATGATGCACCTAAATTATTTCATGTCTGAATGTGTCTAAATATATATTCAGAACCTGTAAGTGATATGGTTGTAACCAGCGTTCATAGACTCGGCCGAGGTAACTTGGACTCAGCTGAGTAACTCGGCCACGCCCTATGGGTGAGGCAAGTTTTGGGCGATTTGGTTGTGCACCATTTTTTTTTAGTTTAAATATATTAAAACCTTCAATTTGAATCAAATAGCTTAAAGTGGCTTTTTGGTTGTTATGTACACGTAAAGTTGAACCCATCAGGGTTCCAATCCCGTTGCTGGCATTTTTTTACGCAACTTTTAAGTTTTAAAACATCCTTCTTTTTGGAGTTTTTAAAAAAATGTGGCCTCCACGAGAGTGGATCCCACAACCTCTTGTTAAGAGGTCGATTTCCATATGTGGCTCAATGATAAAAACTGACACTTGAACTATATATAACTATATTTTGTCTTTATTTTCTTTAAAAAAAAAGGAGCTGAACTTAAGTGAGTTACTCAGACTCAGCTGAGTAAATCGCCTCGGCCAGGGCCCGAGTACCTTTGCCGGGTCGATTTTTTGAACATTGATTGGAACATAATACGAATATGATATTAATATAAAAAAAGATCTGTTATATTTTTATACATGTACCATATGCCACAATTGATAAACTAAATATGTATCAATATGTTGCATAGGATTCTCCTTTCTATAACCATGCTTTGAATTTTGGGAAATTTCAAGTGGTATCTAGGCTCTTCATATGAAGGTATGTATCCTTATCCTTGTTTGGTTATTTGTACTGTATTATTAAGCCACAGTTAAAGGGTGGGTATGTCTCGCAAGAATAAAGGAGGGTCAGGTGATAATTAAAAAGTAGTCTTTGGCCCCATGTAGGTAAATTGATTCCCTTATTTTAGGATAGAATGAATATCGTAAAATTTGTGGGCATTGCCCAAAATTTCTCTCTTTATCAATCTCTGCATCCTAATTTATTGTGGAACTTGAATTTCTTTAGGTTCTACAATCTATTCTACCATCTACATGTTCTCTCTCTATCAGTCTTTCTCTCTCTCTCTCTCTCTCTCTCTCATCTGCATGGGAGTAATCTCTTCTAAAATTTTGTATTTTAAAATCACTTCTCCTAAAATTAATGTAAGTGCTCCCCTAAAATATGTTCCCTATTTTTTAGGTTTAAACCTCCTAAACTTGGTGCCACTAGATCTTGCTCTTGAATTCAAACCACCCCTACACCATAGCAACCACCCAACACTAACCCTTCAAGATGTCTTAAACACCCCTTGAACCCATCCATAGTGCAACTTTTACATATCTTCAACCCAGCTCACAAAACCCTCGGAACCCTTTTCATCCCCTTGTTCAAGGTGGCTTCGTCGCCGAAAAACTTTATAGACTGCAAAACTTACTTTTTTCAACTTCCAATCCAAGCGTAATGACCACAAGGGCATCTGAAAATGGGCGGGATCACTTTTGGGACAATCTCCTTTGCCACCATCAATTTGGCAACACAAGATCTCACCTTTCTCTCTAACCTTAATAAGGGATGAATTTCTGAAAACCCTTTTTAGTAGTGCCATATGCGCAAGGCTTTGGACATGATGAGGGCCATAGACTGCCTAACCCTTGGTCAGTCAAACAACACATAAGCTCCCACTGAAGTGTATAATCCACTATAAATGCCTTTTTACATGTTCTCACAGCCTTTAAAGGCCACAAACCCCCAACAACAACCAATGTGTGTGATTTTATAATCAATTAGTGCTTTTGTGTCTTTCTAGTGAAAGTTTTTATTTTACCCTTGATTAATTACCTAAGGTAACCTTAAGCAAGAAATTACTATATTTGTCAACACAGAACTTTGATGAATATTTCATATTCAATAACCTGGTTAATGCATCTCCATCACCTATATCTATTAGAAGTTTAGAACTTCTTTTGGTAAGGGTGCATTGTACTTCACTTTGACACATACTTGAGCAATATGCATTCTCTGCTTTAGAGAACCATCTAGTATGTCTGGTTTCCTAACTGCTGGTGCTATGTGTCCAAGAGATGGCGTACACTTAGAATGATGACGAAGGTGCAGAAAATGAACACATATGGGAATGGTTGAAAGTGTTGCAATTTCAGGAAGTTTACCATCCACCCCTTCCCGCCCCCCCCCCACTCTTCTCCTCCCAATTATATGGAGGCTACCATTGAGCACCCATATTTAGGTGATCTTTGGAACTGTCAATCTCCATTAAGGTTCAATACCAACAATATATCCAATCAAGAAAGATTGGAACCTTTTCTGTTTTTCATCCATCTCCTCTGTCTAAATATGCATGGCTTGATATCATTATTACCTCCATATTCTGGTGAGTAAGATTCGACAATGAGTTTCAGTCAGTGATTCAAAGACTTATTTTCCTTTTCCTCGATCTTGATTCACGTACAAATTTGGGAATTGTGATATCTGTCAAACGAGAATTACTCAGGAACTAGGTCCATGCAAAAAGGCTCTTGCAAGCGAGCTAGATTGTAGACAGAGCATCGATAGCTTATGGACTCTTAACTCTTTGCATGGACCTAGGAACCTTTGGATTGAATATAGGTTGACTAAAATGTTCTACAATTATATTGTCTGGTCTTTCTTTGGAGTTTATGGTTAAGCGAGTGGGGTTTGGGATGCAGTGGTTTATTGATGCATGTCTGTATATCCATGGCATCTATTAATTAGAGTGCTTATTTAAGATCTTTAGGTGTTTTCGGTAATGGGGTTCTACCTTTTTGTTTACTAACCTAACAAAATTACTTTGTGGGAATTCACCAAACAATATCTACATACTGATTATGGAAAAAAGGAAGATTTTTCTCTTTATGTTGGATTGAGGAGCTCATGTCAGGGAGGGTTTGTCGAAAGCGAAACTATCATCTTCGAGGGTTTCAGTTTAGCTCAGTGTGGCTCTAAAGTTTATGTGGTGATGCTATGGGAAAGATCTTGGACCAGACAGTTAACTTTGAGAAACTGATTTTATAGGATGAATAGAAAATTTACCAACAGGGGACCATATCATGCTCCGTATGGATGGAAGACCTACTCTGTGCATGTTTAGTCTGATTCCTTTGTGTTGAACATGTTGGAGGGGGAATGTGATGCCATTGTTCGCAATCGTTGTAACATGATGAAGACAAACGTGGGACATGATGGGTTGAAGCGAGCAACAGGACTAGCTGCATGAATGGCTTTAGTGGTCCAAAAATCCCTCTTGTAAAACGCGCATAGGCCAGTATGCCAGCCCACTACATGTTTCTATATGAATCCTCTAGGCTCTGAACAATTAATATAAGAAACTACAGAGACATGTTCTTGGGATCCAGGTGAATAGGTTACACTTGGTCCAGGAAAAGGATGTTGAAGGCTTGCGAGGGAAAAGGGACATTTACTTATAAAAAAGAAAACTGCAAATCTCAACTCAGAGAAATTTTTTTGACTTAGAATCTGTTGAAAATTTTCCTTTCTCATACATTGATTGACTAGCATATCCTAACCTATTAAAAATTTAAACTTAATAAGAAAGGCAAGCACAAAAAATCTATGTTATGGATTTTTATATGGTTAGCTTACTAGGACAAAATTATTATAATTGATCATCTTTGTTAGATGGTTCTGCCTTACCCACTGTGGAGCATTTTTCCTTTTGCCATTGGAACTATGAAAATGATTGGGAGTAACTTGGGCCATAGACAGACTGTTTGGGGCTCTTGTGAACCATACATAAAAGATGAGAGTTTTCAAATCTTGTAGTAAACTCAATTTTGAAGGTAGTTCTAGAGGGGAATTGGAGGTGTTGTGAGGACCAACAAGAGGCAGTGCTAACGACTCTCTCAAGTCTAGCAGGCCATTGCAATGCAAACAATGACAGAGGCACTAGTTCTTTTGATTGGATTACAAAACTTGAAAACGGACTGGAACCCCATTTTGGTCGCAGAAGATTCAGCAAATGTGCTTCCATGGGCAAACAAGAGTGCCCATTGCCCATTAAGACTACATTTTTTAAGAGACAACTTAGGCTTATCAATGACTGTGCCCTTCGAGCACAGCTATAGAGAGTCCAACGAGATAGCAGATAGTCTTGCTATAGCGAGAGTTGATTGGCTTTGGCTGTCACCATAATTCATTAGCTCGTTGTCTTTGTTTTTCTTTGATTTTTTTGTCTCCTAAATTGTATAGAATAATAGATGCATATCTCTTTTTTAGATGCGCAGCAGATGCATAGCTTTTAATATCCACAATGCTATACACATACATTTTACACAATTAATGAAATATTGTTATCAAAAAGAAAAAACTGTTTGCAGTCTCGATTGTCATGTAAGATTATTCACTACAAGTAATCTTACTTGAGGCACTTTGTTGTGACTTCCATAATTCTTTAGCCATTTTCAAAAAAATTTAACCTAAAAAGACAATTGTTCAAATTGTTCTCCAGATCTGCACATCATTGCAGTGATATTACATAAAGGGCAAATGGAATGCATGTTTCTGTTCTTTCTCACTTGTTCTTTTAGTAATTTTTGCAAAATGCGTTCTTAATTTTTATTATACTTGATGTGTTTTACTACTAAGTAAATAATCTTGGTCATTTCTTGGTTTTATCTTTCAGCTTCCTAGCAGAAGTGCTCGTCGTAAGAAAGCCAAAAGGCAATGGCTGCGGGAGCTAGCTAAAAACAACAGCAAAGTGGTACTACCTTACTATTTGATGCTTAGCAAGCATGTTTAGACACCATTTGTTTTCCCAGTCAAATTGCAATTTGGGCATTTTGTGGAAATCTCACTAGTAATCTGATCTCAGCAGATGGTTGATTCGCAAATTTGAATTGAGGTCAAGGTGGTAGCACCACCTGTGACTCAGTTATCAGTCTCGGTTTCCATTCCTACCAATGCTAACCCCTTTTGAAAACTACTAACAATTTCAAAAACTAACAGTCAATGTTCGAAAAAAAAAAAGATTCCCAATTGCAATACCCCCTCCCCCCCCCCCTTCCCTCCCCCTCCCCCTCCCCCGTCCCCGTCCTCTCTTTTTTTTTTTTTGGTCAAAACTACTCCAAGTTGTTTTGCAAAAAATTCAATTTGGTTTTCTCTCTCTCTCTCTCTCTCTCATCATCACCATTACCGCCACCACTTGACTACCATTTTGTGGCCACCACTCACCCCACCTCCACCACTGCCGTTGCTGCCGCTGCCGCCACCACCGCACCACCACTAAGCAACCACCATTGCCACCACCTAGCTCCACTGCCTAGCTGCTATCATCACTATCACTTTGCCACTACCACCATCACTGCCCCACCACTACTTCCTACAGCCACCACCATTCCACCACCACAGCCTATCAACTACCGCTGCCACAACCGCTGCCACAACCGCTGCCACCACTTACCACCACCTACCTGCACCACCACCAATTCTCCACCGCCATCCCCACCGCTAGCACGACCACCCCCACCGCCACCACTAACATCTCGTTGCGACCAGCACAACTATTGCACTGTGCCATCACCATCACGCTGCCTCCATCACATCACATAATAACAATTTATAACTCAACTAAATTGTTATTTGGTCAATTGCAATTTGAAGAAAACACTATTTGATAGAATTTTGCAATCAAATGATCCTTAGTGATCTTTGAAATTGTCTTCCTGGGTTATTCATTCTGCAGTTACATGCATTAACTGGAGTTGCTGAACTGTCTAGTTGTTATGCCTCTTTCGTGGTCTTGTGCTTATGAAATATTTTATCTTGATGCATCTTTTTTTGGTCTGCCTTTTCTAATCATTCTAGTTCTGTGTGTGCTCACTTGCTAGTGTCTTTGGCATGTGTAGGAGCTTCAGAGCCATTCACCAGAAAAGGCAATTCAAATAGAATTTTCGAAGCCAAGGGAATCTGGTCAAGTTGAGGATGAAGATGAGGATGAAATAGTTCCTGTGGTGGTTAAACCGGGACACGTTCGCTTTAAGCCTGCTGGTAAAGGTGTGATGGTGCTTTCTTGTCTCCCTAGTTTGTTAGCATAATATTGGTGTCTGAGAGCAGGTTTGCATAAAGTTTTTCAGCTTCATCCTTTGCAATTCTTATGTTGCAATACCAGTATGGCCATGCAATTATGAATTATCCACGAAAAATTGTTAGTGTGGGATACTTCGTCTAGATGTTATAAGGTACTACTTTTTAAAAAAATTTAGCAGTTTCTGTAAAATCAGAAGAGCATCTTCCACTATAACCCATGTATCTCCCTGAACTCATACATACCTCCTCTGAGATTTACCGTAAGAAACTAGACTCTAGACTCAAAAAGAAATAAGAAAAATATAACTTGCCTTAGGAAAACTTGCAAACAGGTCTGAAATATAGTGCCCCAGAATACTTGATTTCTGATGAAACCAGAATCTGAAAATTCGCTTAGACCAAAGGAGAGAAGCACTCTTCTTTCCCTTCTTAAAAATTTTCATTCCCATAAAAAGAAAAACATACACCTTCACATGGACGTCACCCTTTTTGATAAAAGTAAATATATATCATCATCGGCCCGACTATTTGGGGTCAGCCATACGAATCATGTTCCACGCTTCCGTTTTATCAAGGGCCATACTCTTAGTTAGACCATAAGTTACCAGATCTTTTCTTGCTACCTCCAATCATGTCCTTTTGGGTCTTCTCTGTCTTTTTAGAGCCTTCCACTTGTACCAAATTGCCCCCGAACCGATGTTGTTCGAAGTCGACGTTGCACATGGTCAGCTCACCTAAGTTTACGTTTCCTCGTCTTATTGCCTATTAGATCCATCCTTAAGTTCCCGTAGATGTATTCATTCTGAATTCTATCATTTCTTGTCTTGCCATTCATCTATCTCAACATCCTCATCTCAGCTTTACTCATTCTATAGATATATTGTTTCTTGACTGCCCAAATGGCTGGTCACATAAAACTCCTTTAAGTTTTATTGGTATTGCGGTATTGCGGCGATCACATAAAACTCAGGAAGTACATCCCCACTTCGTCGGCCCAACTCTAATTCTATGTACAACATCTTCGTCAATCTCTCAATTCTCATGGATTATCGACCCCTGGATATCGAAAATAATTTCTTTTAGGTACTTATTGACAATTAATCTTAATTACTACCTCATTCTATTCCTAATATTACTAAAGTTACATTCTATATATTTTGTCTTGGTCTGGCTAATTTTAAAACCTTTAGATTCTAGAACATCCCTCCAAAAATGCCCCCTCATACATATCTATCACCATGTCGATATATCCTCTAGAGATTCCTTTCTTTTTCAACATTTGCCAAATTAACTCTCTAGGTACCCTATCGTATACTTTCTCTATGGCAGTAAAGACCATGTGGATGTCTCTCCTCCCTAAACTTCTTAATCAATTGCCTAAGTAGGAAAATAGCCTCAATTGTTGACCTGCCTGGCGTAAAACTAAACTGGTTTTCTGATACACTCGTTTCATGTTTTAGTCATTGCTCAATCACTATCTCTTCATAGTGTGGCTCATAAGTTTGATCCCTCGACGGTTCATATAATTCAGTATGTCTCCTTTGTTTTTGTAAATAGGTACCACAATACTTTTCCTTTATTTATTTGGCATTTCTTTATTCTCATCATCTTGTTGAACAACTTGGTCAACCAGATTATGTTAATATCTCCCATGCACTTCCAAGCCTCATTGGGATACCATCTGGTCTTAAAGCCTTCCCATCTTTATCTTTCTCAAAGCTTCTTTCACTTCAGATATCCTAATCCTACGAATGTATCTATAACCTCTAGCCTCGTCTATGTCAAATGCTCCTCCTAGTGTCGTGCTCCCATAGTGTTTGTCATTTTATAATTTTTAAAAATAAATTCTCCACTTTTCGTTGACCTCATCATCTTTCACTAAGACACTCTAATCTTTACTCTTAATTCATTTATCATGATGGAGCTCCCTACACTTTCTCACTTTCATTTTTGTTAATTTGAAGATATCTTTTTCAACTTCTTTTTTCCCTAACTTGTTGTATAGGCCATCATATTCCTTAAGCTAAGCTGTACCATTTTTTTAGCATTTTTCATAGCTTTTTAATGTTCTTCTGAGTTTTGATCATTTCTATTCCATTGTAAAGTTTTATAACATGATCATTTTTCGCTAATGGCCTTTTGAACATCATCACGTGACTGCCAATTTTCCGTATTTGAATGTCTTTTCCCTATAGATTCTCTTAAAACTTATGTAGCCACTTTCGTGATACTATCAACCATCTCATTCTAAATAACATTAACTGTATCCTCAGAATTTTATTTCCCTTCTTTTATCAGTTTATTCGTAAATAAGTCTATTTTCTCCTTTTTTAGATTCCACCACCTAATTCTTGGACAACTATCAACTTCATTCCTCTTCTATCTCTTTATGCAAACATTCATAACTATGAGCCTATGTTGTGTGGTCAAACTCTCCCTAGGATAACCTTACAATCTCTACATGATGCTTGATCTGCCTTCTTACTAGAAAAATGTCTATCTGGCTTTTATATGATCCACTTTTATTAGTTATTAAATGTTCATGTCGTGTTTTAAAATAAGTGTTTGTTATTGCTAGTTATAGCACAATCAATAATAACATCACCCATCTCATTTCTTACACCAAATTCATATCCTTCATGTATCTTTTCATATCCTCCTTTATCTTTTCCTATATGGCCATTTAAGTCCCTCCTAGAAAGGTCCTTTCTCCATTTGGTATCCCTTGAATTAGTCCATCCATGTCCTCCCATAATTGTCTTTCAACGCTATTCTCTAGTCCTAACCTAACTCGTGAGCACTAATTACATTAATTATTTCCTTCCCTAATCACAAGTTTAATTTATAGGAGCCTATCACCTACTTTCTTGACATCTACTACTTTATCCTTGAAATCTTTGTCTGCTATTATGCCTATGCCACTTATATTATTATCCTTTCCTATATTCTAAAGTTTATATTTGTTGATTTCCTTAGCTTTTACCCTTTTCTGTTTAGTTTCTTATAGGCAAGCTATGTTAAGTCCTTCGTCATTGTGTCCACTAACTCCATACTCTTACATGTTAGAATTCCTACATTCCGTGCGGGTAAATGGATCCTATTCTCTTGGACTAGCTTCTTTACCTGCAATTGTCCAAAATGGCACGGGAACTCTTGCCTACTTATTGCTGCAGCTGGGTGATGTTGCAGTGCGTCGCTTCTAGGGGACACCTTAGCTAACCCTTACTCATTTCTCATTGCACCCAAGTGCCGATACAGTGCGTCGCTTATAGTGAACGCTTTAGCATGAACATATAACGTTAATGTAGGATTCATGAATAGATGTGGCTAAGTTTTACATCGGCCGCCCACCTAACATAACCCTCCTCCTTTCTTTAGGCTTGGGACGGGCATGACCAACTGGGACTAGCCATAGCGTGGATATGCTATACAAAAAAGCCATGAGTTATGATTATAGGCATCCCATAGGTTAGATAAACAAAATAAAAAGAAAACATCCAAAGAAATCGTCCCTCTCTCACTCTCTTGCTCTTTCTCCCTTCTCTCCTCCCCCTCCCCCCCTTTCCTATCAAACACAACATTCTAGAACTGCATGTAATAAATTTCTATTCGTTGTTCCACATGTAGCGCCTAAGCGGTTCAGAGGACTTGGGGACCTCGCTCAGGCCTAGACGGTAAGAATAGGCAGCCTGCCCCAAGGCGGACGCCTAGGCGCTTGGGCACCCGTCTAGGCGGGTGCCCAATGGCCAAGGCTTGTGCCCCACCCAGAGGCCGAAATTCCCCTTGTTGAGGGGCATTTTTGGGTGTTTTTTATAAAAATAAGAGGGGACCCTGCTTTTCTTGATGATGATTGATGATTGAGGACTTTTTTGAGTCTTCAAGTCTAAATTTCTTTCATTTTTCTTTTCTTCCTCCTGGTTGTGTACAGTAGTGGTTTGTAAACTTTTAAGTTTTAACTATATGTGGACTATGGATATGGACTTATGGAGTATGGAGTCTATGTGGACTACAGACATTTGATGTGCCCCCTAACTTTTGTGTTATTATTATTATTTTTTTTTCATTTTCTTGATGATGAATGAATCGATGTCTATCTTGGATTATAGACTAAAATATGTTTCAATATGTATTTTTTTTTTTTTCCACAATATCTTATTGTAAAACAACTTTTTATTCTACAGGACCGCCTAAGCTCTAGGCGCCCGCCTAGGCGCTAGGCGGCCTAAACTTCCCTGGCTGCATGGCGCCGCTTGGCCTTTTTTGGAAACATTATGTCTATTCATCTATAACTTTCCTACTTTCCCTCGCCAATTCCACTATCCTAGGACTTCAAAATCCCATGCTTCCCCTTCTACTTCCTGTTTTTTGAATCCCCCCATCAAAATCCTACACTCTAGGCTTCGAGACGGCCTAGGCCTATTTCCTTTTTCTGCCTATCCTGACAATAACTCAAAAAACAAAAAGGAACTCTTCCCATCAAAATAGGGCCATGAAATCCTGGAAACTAGGTCATTCATGCCAATGCTAAAGAAACTGCACCCTTAAGCATGCCCATAAAATAAAATAAAAATCCTTTTTCAATCCCGCAAACCAAGCCTAAAAATGAACCCGTAAAAAAAAAGAAGAAATGACTAAGTCCCCCTAAAATTTAGATGAATAAAAATATTGAATCAGCCCATCTATTGATTTGCATTATCCTCCCCATGTTGGAGAAGACTCAACTCTATCGGCTCAGCTTCACCATCAAATACAAAGATCTTGAAACTCAGGATTGAAGAGATGTTACATGCACTAGGCAACTCCTACGAAAAACAGCCACACACATTCAAAATATCTGCACATGAAATATAATTGCATCAGCTGCCCGATTCTTTGGGTGAAAAATTTCTTTTATCTGGTCAGCATCGACAACTCTGTCCACAAGTTCATATATTTCTCATTCTCAGGATTTCCACCTATGTAGTGTGCCTTGATGCCCATTTCAACTTCTTTGATCTCATCTCCTGCTCCTTGTATATTTGAAGTCTATTTGAAGCAATGTTCGAAAATTCGACTCGGGTTGATTACTTGGCCCATGCCCCAGCTGAGTACTCATCCGAGTCCAAGTAATGCAGTCCAAGTAGGGCCGAGAACTATAGCAGCTGAAAACTAGTAAAAAAATACAAAACAAATCCCAAAAAGTAAGAAAAATATATTCAAATTAAAATTTAATAAAATTTAACAAAACACAACTAATTGTGTGCTTAAAGTAGTGAAAAATAGAGTTTAAGAAATGAGTTTGTGCCCTGGGGTATTTTTGAAATTTTCCAAAAAAGATGGGAAAATGTAAAGTAAAACTAAGTATTCATGACCAAAATATTTCCAATCTTTGCCAAAATCATAGAAAACATAAATAAACACGTTATAAATATATTACAACTAATACCTATTTTTTGGGGATTTTTTAAAAAAACTTGATTAGATCTCCGAGTTGGACCTCCACCTCGGGTTGGCAAGGGTCTGAGCCCAAATGACTTGGCTGACTTTATGAACACTGATTTGAAGTCCACAGTGCCAGAATTCTCGCGCATTGTGCTCAATTCTGAGATGATCTCATGGAAAGCAAGATTGCAAGTTTACAAGATCATGTAGATTGGATGAGAATCTCATAATATAACACCAAACAGTAAAGTATAAGGTCCAATCTTACTGTGTGAGTTGATTCAATTCTTCAAGTGCCATGTCCTGTGTAGATTTGAACCACAGATGAGCTCTCTGCCACCTTGTCCCTCTCTGCCCCCCTTTCAAAATTGGCATTACCTGTGTGTGATATGGTTTTTGAACTAGTAACCTCTGAAATTTTATTTGGGCAGTTGGACCCTGTTCTGCAAACCTAAAAAGGATGCCCCTTATTTTGTGTTAACGGATAGGTTGAATGAGCTTAAGAAACTTGCACACTGCCAAAACTAGTAGGGTCATGGCTTCACGCTGCCTAACTCAGATCAGTGTAGGAAAAATCGAATCGGAACTGTTAACCAGACATGGGCCTGGAAGCTGTTCAACCATTCTAATGGGGCAAGTCCCGGGCGGTCAAAAAAGTGTTAAAAAAATACAAAAACAAATCTAATAAAATATGAAAAATATATTCAAAGAATGATTAAACAAAGCACATCCAAATGAAGTTGAAAATTAATGAAAAAAAATGAATTTTAAAGAATCTATTTGTGCTCTGGGGTATTTTTGAAATTTTCCAAAAAAGATGGGAAAATGTAAAAATACATATTAATGGGCAAAACAATTTCCAATGTTTTCCAAAATGATGAAAATCATTAAAAAATACATTACAAATTAAATCCCTTATTTTTTGGGATTTTTTTATAATTTTTTAAAGTTGTTTTTTTAAAATACTCTGTCGGTCTCCAAAACCGGCTGAAATCGGAATTGACCAGTGGTCGATTCCAATCTAACCTGGTGGTTACCAGTTAGAACGGCCACATCTTTCAAGTTTGAACGGCAAAACTTCGACTTTTGCCAAGTCACCTAATGCAGCTAATTAGGCACCACTCCTATAGACTTCCATTGTATCAAGACAACCACTCTCAAACTCCTGGTTACGTAAATGGAATTCTTCAAATCCCATGAATGTGCAACAGCAGCCACACCCCCAGTTTGACATATTAGTGGGACCACTTCCTCTACCAAAAGTTCATTTCCTTTAGCATAAGCAGGTCCAACAAAGCAACCATACTTTCAGCATCCTTTCAACATGCTCCCATTTGCTTAGAACTTTCAACTTGCTCAACTTTAGTAACATATCTTTTGCCCAAAGGATATGTCCATCTCTTTATGTCGGCTAAGTGTTCCTCGAGTTCCTCAATTTTGATAGGCCCACAGCGATGGTAATATACAAGGATATGAACAGTTTCCTTGGTTCCAGAATTACCCAGGGGCGAAAGTATTATACTAATTTCAACACCAGGTATAATCCCAATTTCATAGTTTCAAGCACCCCGCCCCCCCCCCCCCCCCCCCTTCCCCCCGCCCATGCTATCATGACCTTAGAGTCCAAGTACTTGCACCCCACAGAGGAGCTCAAAAACCATAGCACATGAGACTGGAAATGCTATGAGAGAGGAGCTCAAAAACCACAGACTCTAAATGGGAAATTTGATGAAGCATGGTGAATTTCTTAATTCATCATTTGGCCGATAATCTTGCAATCTTATCTTTTGCAAGACCTCATTCTTTTCTTGCATGCAACCTACAGGATTACAAGGGGTGTCTTCAAATCCCTGTAAGGGATTAGGGTCTTTTCTTGCATGCAACCTACAGGATTACAAGGGGTGTCTTCAAATCCCTGTAAGGGATTAGGGTGATGAAAGTCTAACTAACTTCATATCCATGCCAAGCCCTTCAAGCCTCCTCCTTGTGTCCTCACCAATGATTCATTACTAGTTCCTTCTGTTCCTTGAATTATCTATGCAGCATGCTCATAGATCCTGTAAAAGTTAGTTGAAGCATGAAATAACTAACTTACTGGCAGGGAAAAATAAAGCAGGCTTGTTTATTTCACACATTCCTAAGTTTTGTGCCCTTGTGTTCTGCCTTGTGACATTGTAGTCACTGGTGGATTTGCTCAGAAATATATTCAGGAATTGATGGATCTGGGATCTTGTGAGATCTGTATCATCGTATCATATCCATAGGAATCTCACTCTCTGCTTTGGAATGTCTGCCTTGGCACCTCAACTCAGGATTGACCCCCATCGTAAGTCCTGAGTCCTCACTAAGTAGGACTTCGGCAGTGGACCTGATCTTCCTTTCTTTACAGAATGTGGAGACAACATGCAGACTGGAATGAATGGATCTCTTAACGTGAAGAGCAATACCAAGCAAGGAGCTCCCAAATATACGCATACTTAATCCCAAGCTACATTTGTATGCAGTCACGTTGGTTCCTATATTTCTTAGATGGGGTCCCATATGATTTTGAGTGTTTTCTGTTGTTCATTTTCGAATATTGTCCACTGCTTGTGAAAGGAACTATCTTTGCTGGAATCTGAATAGTGCAAATGGCCTCGTATTTTCATGTTAAAACACATGGCCCAAACCCTAAATAGCTGCCTTAACAGGAGTATCTGGAAATTGTATCTGCTTCTTATTTACTTTACCGTGTTATATGTATATGGTAGACAAGAGTTGGTCACTGATGCAGTCTGCTTGCTTATGTCTCAGGTAACAAGTTGCTGCTTACATTTTGAGTATGTTGATTAATTGCTATCCCGTAATGGCGATGTATTTAACTTTAAAATTCCAAACGTATATGCCTAAGATCCCCCAATTAATTGGGAAAGGGCTATGATGATGATGATATGCCTAAGATCACATAGGACTGCATATTAAACTGCTATTATATGATAATAATCTCATAGAAGTGTGTGTTAACTTGCAAGAATTTATGGATTTCAATTACTTTGGCTAGGTATCATATTACTTTTGTATTCCTATTCTCTCTTTTCAGACTACTAAATTCTGGAGAACTATAAAAGTCAACTAAACAGGCAGAACAGCTGTTTAGACTGCAGGGTGAACTGATCTACTGTTTACAAGTAAACGTGATTTCCCGTACCTCTATGCATATGTATGTCATAAAATCAAAGGTTTTATGAATTATTGTGTTAGTCTTATGGAGCAGATATGTTCTTGTATGCTAGTGGAAATGCTGTGACTCTAATATGTGTTGATGGTGATCTGATTAAAGTCCTTGATTTGCTTGTTGTATTGTGGAAACTGTCTAACCTTGTGATGCATTTTCTATCCAGTTACTGCAGATCCAGAGGATCGACAGGTTCAAGAAACAATGGTATGCTTCCATCCTTTGGCTATTAGGTTTTTCTCTTCTACTGCTGTAACGTTACCCATTCCCTGCATGATAGGTCATTATCCGGATGTAATATTACCCACTTTTTTCCATTTGTTTTATGAGGTCATTTGAGTCCCATGGCTTTCAGAGAGAGATTTGTATCAACTTCAGTTTGGAGGTTTCTCACATCTATTGAAAATGAACCAGAGAGTAAACTTTATCAATGAAAAACCATGAAGTTATTTATACCCAAGTCACTCTGCAATAGTTGTTCAAAAACATCATCCAAATGCAAAGATAGTGGTTCCATGTTGATGCAAGGCCATAAATTGGCACTAGTTAGAAAATGAATGGTGATTGAAGCATCCAAAAGTTTGTTTAGCATGACTGAGTCTCATGAGATTAAAAGGCACTTTACTGGCATTGAGAAATGTTGTGTGGTTTGTAGCCGTTCACAGAGAGGTTCAATTTACTGAAAGTGCTGACTGATGGATTGTGATCTATTTCTGCGATGTATGATTTCAAACTGGCATATTAGGTTTTTCAGTAATTTAGTAAGAGTGAGAGAGTGAATTTGTGCCAGAACTTTGAAAGACTAAGTGGATATGATCGGCTTTAAAGAAAGTCGTCATAGTGACTTAAGTCATATATTTAAGATAGAGCAATAATTTAGCAGAATTTCTCTGCAGCACTGAGAATAGGGATTTGATATTATGATATGGAACGGATTACATTCAGATAACTCTGGAGAAGTTCGCAGATCATTAAAACGATTTGACCCTTCTAGAAAGGAAGCTGCTGCCATCAAGTTCGATGATCATGGGAATTAGAGGAAATTATAAATAGGTTGGTATTGCATCCACAGGCTGTGGTGCACAAGCACCTTTTAATAGTTTAGATTGAACCAACCCCATCCAATGGCCAAAATTGAGTTCTGTTTTTATTTTTTGTTTTTATTTAAAATATATTAATACGAAATTTGGTCCTTAGCTTCATTTTTATAAGTAGAATTAAATAAAAATTATATAAAAAAAATATATTTTAAATAAAAACTTGGTCAAAATGAATTTAGTGCTATTTTGGTCATTTTTCTATTTAAAATATTTTCGATTATTTTATTTAGTTATATTTATAAAAATACAACATTTAGATAAATATCTTACTTGAATAAAAAGTAAAAAATAAACTATGAGACTAATTCTTCGCCGTTGGATTTGGCCTTGTGAAATCTCCACCATGGGACCTGTCCAGATGATGTGGACAGACAGATATTTTTCCATTATAAATAGGGGAAATATGGAGAAGAAATGTTACAACTGAAGAGGAAATAAAATATTCTCTTATAAGCCTGTGAAATTGCAAATGCTGGAAATATGTTTTGTGTTTCTAATGGAGAAATAAACAAGGGGAAGTCTCGATTAAGCTTCAATGAGGAACTTAGGAATAATTAGATCTCAAGTGCGAAAATTGTTTGTAGGAAATTCTGTCCCTGGAATCCTCAGAAAAAGTTATGGAAAGAGGCCATTTGTGATGATCATTCTGATTATTCCTCTGGTGAAAAAGTCATGACTAAGGAAAGTAGTCTAAGCTGGTTTTTATGTTTCAAACATGCTAAAAATTGTAGCAAATTTGTTGTGCCTTCTCCATATTCTTCTTAAGTTTTTATTGTTTTCTTTCTTTTGGCATAAGTGTGCTAGTATCCCTCTCATTTACTTTTATATTCTTATAATATATTCCAAATGTTGAGTTTTTCGCACTTTAAGAAATTAGATTGGTACTAGTGTAACTCCATAGGCAAATACGTTCTTGGAAACAAATATGCATCTTCCCTGCATCCCTATAAGTTCATTCATTGTGTAACAAACTCAGAAATGCTTCGTAGGTGATGCATTAAGCATGAATACAAAAAGTACAATACAATAGGTTATAGTCAAAGTGTTGTAACTTGTATGTACTGCTTATCCTCCCGATTGAAACAATCATCTGGCAACTTGTTCAGATCCATTTTCTGTTATCCATTTTTTTTCAGATAACTTTGGCATGATAGCGTTGAACTTTGATTTCCCATATATGAAATGCTGGAGGGAGTTCACCATATATGGTAGAAACTTTTTCCATATATGAAATGTTGGAGGGAGTTCTCCACCATATATAATAGAAACTTTTTCATGATGGACTTCCAAGGAGTATATTCTTGTCACCTGATACATGATAGGCATAGTTACATATGCCCTTTGTGACATTGGCAAGTAACATCTTTTGTCATGAGGATAATATGGATGACTCAAATAGCACATAGATTCCTTAATATATCTTTTTGGTGCATTAGGGAGTTCTTCAGTGGAATGGAATAACTAGCAAGAAGAAGGGTCAGAAGTGGGGCAAGGAGAATGGACAAGCACATAAAGAAAAGGTCTGGGATAACCTGAATGATTGGCAGGATTCAGGAGAGAGAGAGATGAATGTTGAAGGTGAGCCAACACAAGAACTTGTGGACTTTGAAAAGCTTGAGCCCATAACTCGCTTTCCTCAGGTATGTGAACTACACATGCTTTATAAAATGTTGTGGTCAGAAGCTTTTTTCAGTTCTCTAGTCAACATGTCCTTATTACCTGCATCCATCCCCAGAACTTTCTAATTAGCACTACCACTGTCATTTGAATCTTAGTTCCAGATAATAGTATTCGACACATTTTAGATTATCTCTAGAAACTTATAAAATAATCCTTTGCAAAGTTGACCTGAACCTGAAGCTCATGTTCCCATATTCTCCTTTAAAGCACACATGGATGGTTGGTATGATATTTTATCGAGGTAATTCAAAGTAGAAAATGGCAGAACCTACTCTAACTTTCATTTGGTTGCAGGAAGGTGATGTCATTGCATATCGTCTGGTAGAATTGTCTTCTTCATGGTGCCCTGAGCTTTCTCCTTTCCGGGTACTGTATTTGTGCATCTACATATTAGCTGATTAGGTTTTTGTGCTTTATGCACATAATCTGGGTTCTTACATGTCTGTGTGCTTATGCTAAATAGGTAGGGAAGTTCTCCTGTGTTCCATCATCAGGAAAGGTGAAATTATTGCCTCTTCTGGAGCATCCAATCGTATTAGGTGAAAATAAAACAGAGGAAGATGATGGTTTTCCATCTTATTCTTCCTCAAATTATAATGAAGATGGCTCATTAGAGGTACTTAGTGGTTTGTTCGTAGGAAACTCTTGATTGCGAGAAAGCAATAGAGACATTTTGTGATATACAATTTTGACTAATAAAAGATGCTTTGATGCATGTTACAGATTGAGTTTACATCCCTTGTTGATGTCCGCCTGCTCAATCATCAAAGATCAGATCAACTACAAAAGCCAAAGGATCAAATTCTTAGTGGGGCAACAGACAAGGATGCTGTGAACAACAAAGCAGCTGTCTCAGTTACGAATTCCGGACATAGAGTTGAAGATTTTCCTTCTCCTGTCCATGGTATACATCTCTGAAAATATACTGAATTTTTTTTAATTTTAGCCTTGTGAAACTGAACGGTCCTGTCTACAGCTTAAGTATGATTTAAGTACATGCTATCTAAATATATTAAAATTTCAAGGTTCTTGAAATGTAAATACTATAGTATGCATGGAGTGAGTCATTTAGAGTGTCTCTTGGCTAATCTCTCTCTCTCAACCCCCCAACTGCTCATAAGCTCTCCCAATGAGTGATGCTTGTGTGAGTGCCTGCAGTATGCAAGTATTGATATTGAACCCTTGCTTAATTCATATTGTATGTTAAGTTTGCAAGTTCCATGGCTTCTTAAATTTTGTTTCAATATGAGGCTGGTTACATAGAATGGAATTTACTTCAGCCGTGTAGTCATTCCTTTCACAGAGAATGGCGAGCAGACAAAGGTTTGGGATGAAATAACTCAGGCATTGAAGGAGAAAAAGGCACAACTGTTGCATAGGGAGAATGGGGTCCCAAAAGAGACAACCCAGAGAAATGCATGGTCCTATAAGGCCTTAAGGAGCAGTGCACTGGGCCCTACAATTTCTTTCCTGAGGGCACAGAACCATCTGACATGTTGACAGTAGAAAATGCCGAGAACTTTTCGCCAATATGTTTGGGCGCAGTTGTTGAGACCAGTTAAATCCATTATGCTGTTTCTCATATAGGAAGAATGGGAATTTTGTAGTGTTCCCAGTGTTTTGTAAATTTTAGTTATGGCCTGCTCTTATTATATTTGATGTAATCTGTTCTCTACCAATGTTTGCATCTTGCTCTTTACGTATGTTTTATGTGTTACATAATCATCTTGCATGAAGAAAGGATTTATTCATGTGAACTTATGTTAAAAAAATCAATGTGGTCAAGGTACTCGGACCCTGGCCAAGGCGAACGAGTTCAAAGAGAATAATGATAGCAGATAAAGTTTATATATAATAAAATACCTAATCTTAACATTAATTTAAGAGTATCGTGGCCTCAATTCCTGTCCCTTGCACGTTAGTACAGTAGTACGTTGCTCTTTTTAATAAAACATAAAAGAGGTCTATTTTTTTAATTTAAAACAGAGTTCGTGCATGAGAGGCCTCGGACGGAGGATGTGAGGTTGCGGTGCCGTGTATGATGGCCAAAAGACTACTTAGACGCAGGCTAAGTAAAGTCATGAATAATAAGATATATAGAAAATCGAAACACGGTAGGCCGAGTAACTAAGCCGTGTCCAAGTCACATCGGTCGAGTCTAGAACCCCCGGTGTGAACTAACAAGTAATAGTATATTTTGATGTTAGTACATCTAATTCCACGATTGCAGAGCGACTGTCTTCTTCTTGTTCCTGAATGATTCCACAGGGGAAAAGGCAGTTTAAGCCACGAGTTCTGGATTTTTTATGTGCATTTGTAGGTTCATTTGGAATCAGAACATATGACCATTTTTTCCAGGAAACTCCTAACTGGGAAATACACACTTTTCCTACATTTCTGTTCAGATCTATTAGTGTGAATCCAAACAATTTAATATTCATTTTCATGTGGGGTCAACTTGAGTGAAACCCACCCTCTTTGAATGAAAGCCACCCTCTTTTACGCTGAACCAGTGGAGACTGAGGCCACAATTACTATGGTAGAGAAAGGCTTCAAGGAACTCTTTTTTCTCGAACCAAATAATCTTTCTTGTAACGGCTTTCAATTTCATCATATCAGGGTTTCCAAGATATTGAAAACCGGTCATGTTCAATCACTGGGTTGAGTGTATAGCTCAAGCCTCAAGGTTTATTTGATATGGGTGTGGGATTTGATTTTTTTAGAGATCTGTGTCAATTTTAATGGTGATTTTTTGGGGTCCTACACATATGAGTGGGGG